ATATGTGATGGTGACATTGTGGGAGTGTAGGAGAGTATCCACATTCTTGGGAAATGCATGTTGAAGTATTCAGGAGGGAAGTGTCTTAAAATATTTCAGTTAAAAACCACGATATGCAGGCTGGAGAGATGGCTCAGCAGTTAAGAACACTTATTCTTCCAGAGGACCTGGATTCAATTTCCAGTACCCACATAGTGGCTAACAACCATCTGTAACTCCAGTTTCAGGGGATCCAACATCCTCTTCTGGCCTCTGTGGGGCATTGCATGCATGTGGTATACTTACATACACGTAGGCAAAACACTCATACACATAAAATAAAAATAACAAAATATTTTAAAACAAACCACTATATCCACATAGCCACACATCCACACACTCAAATATATAGAGAAAAATTAATATGGCAACATGTCAGAGTCAAATTTTGGTAGTGTACCTAGAACTGCCCATTGTCCCCCATTCTTTCAAATGGTTCACAAACAAAAATTTTAAATGCCAGGCATGGTGGCACACACCTTTAATCCCAGCACTTGGGAGGCAGAGACAGGCAGATCTTTGTGAGTTCAAGGCCAGCCTGGTCTACATAGTGAGTTCCAGGAGAGCTGGGGCTACAAGGAGACCCTGTCTCAAAAGGACAAAAAATTTTTTTTTTAATGAATGAAGGTTGAAGAAAAACACGTAACTAAACTAGCATTTATATCTTGAGAATATAAAGTTAATGACTTAGGTAATATAATGCAGGAAAATGCTCATTGTAACACTGAGTGAAACAACATTGTGGTGTTACATGCCTTTAATCCCAGCACTCAGGAGGCAGAGGCAGGCAGATCTCTGTGAGTTTGAGGCCAGCCTGGTCTCCATAGCAAATTCAGGCCAGCTGGGGCTACAGGGAGACCTTGTCTCAAAAAGACCAAAAAAAAAAGGTAGCTTTAAATATGAATATTAACTACTACCAGAGGTAACCAGAATCTGTATAGAGAATGTGATGGTTAATCTTGTCAACTTGAAGGGGTTTGGAATGACCTAGGAGATATGTCTCTCATGTGTCTTGGAGTTGTTTCAGAGAGGTTTAACTGAGGAGGGAAGACCCACCCTGAATTTGGGTAGTTCCATTCCATGGGTTGGACTCCTGAACTGCATAATAAGGAAGGAGGAAGCGAGCTGAGCACCAGATTCATCCTCTGCTTCCCAACAGTGAACACAGTATGACCAGCCTTCTCATGCACCTGCCGCCATGCGCCTGCCGCCATGCGCTGGCACCTGCCTTCCCTGGGACTGCATTCCTCAAACAGTAAGTCAAAAAAAAAAATCTCCTCCTCCCTTAAGTAGCTTTTGTCAGGCATTTCATCACAGCAATGAGAAAAGTCCCTATTAAACGCACACGGGAAAAACCAATACGTGAGCAATGGCTTTCACGAGACAGTGTGCATGTGTGCTATTTCTTCCCTCTACTCTTTGTACTTTTTAACTTTCTAAAGATGTATATTATACATTCAATCCTAAAAGCAATGTTTAGGTAAAAACACCACCTTCTGGTCTTAGAGAATCTGAATCCACTACATGTGTCATGATCTGATCGGTCCACTAACCAGTCTCATCAGCTAAGCTGTGAGCTCAGAGATGCCAGGAATTCACCCTCCTCATCACTGAGCCCTCAGTGCCTATCATGCCGGTGTATAGTTAGTTGTAGAAGATGCTGACAGTTTCTCATATTGACCTGAGGCACAGCAGCCTCCCTTTTAATTTAGGGGGTCCATGTTCTGGGGACCTGACCTAGGCTACCTGTTAATATGTGGGATCTGCCTATAGAAGAAACTTGCTGATCTCCATGCCTTAAAGGAGTGAATTCTTTAAAGATGGATTTTAGAAGGATTAATTGGAACAAGAAGTAGGACATACACTGTGCAATGTGTACTTATGCCCTTCCCTTTTGCCAAGGGCACCTACCTGGAGTGATCCCTACAGCTGGTCTGCACTGACTCTGAGGACAGCAGCACTTCACACTAGGAAGTTGTGATCCAAATGTCTAAATTACACTGCTTGGGGTACTGATAAGCAGCTTTAAAAATAAATCTGGCAGGTGGCAGTGACTGTAAACAAACCCTTTTTCTCCCTCCAGGCCAGTGACTAAGGCACAGTAACAGTGAACATTCCCAACACTTAGCAGCTTTTGTTTGGGTTTGGTTTTTATTTTTGAGACTGGGGACAGGGTGGTCTCACTATCTAGCTCAGGCTAGCATGCAACTTATAATGTAGCCCAGGCTGGCCTTGAATTCAGAGTAATCCTTTAGCCCCATCATCCTAAGGACTTGAATTACAGGTTGATCCAAGATGCTCAACTCTCTGAATAGTTTCAAAGCATGAGAGGAGAGACCATGTAGAGTTAGAATTAGGGAATGTGCTGCAAACTCACCGAGTCCAGCCTGCATCTTAGAGACTTGGAAGCTGAGACTTGGAGACAAGGTGACCCCAGAGTGGCAAAAGCTTTCCTTTACACTTTGCTGCAGGATGATCCAACATCCTGTCACATTAGGAGACAGGTGCTAGTGACTTGGTTTCCTTGAGGTGTGTACGGGCTAGTTACAGGGAAAGAGGACAAGGGGGAAGCTGGAGTCACCTTTCTCCTGCAACCACAGCAGGGCTTTCCGGACCTGACAAGGACTCTGTGTGAGTTCAGGATGAAGTCAGTTTGCAGTTTTCCTTTAGGATTATAAAGGGGAAAACAGATTTAGAAAGTCTGAATTCTCTCTTGATGATAACAAGGGAAGAAAGCCAGGCATGGTAGGACATTGCCTGGAGGATCATGAGTTCAAGGTCAGCCTGGGCTCCATGGAGACCCTGTCACAAGCAAATAAGCAAGTAAGTAAGCACGAGCAGATCCCGTGTCCTCACCACCTGCCCACCATCACAAGGCACTGGTTCTCAGAGGTTTTGTTCATTTTTGAGGTTTTTTCAAAGCAGCAAATTTGTTTCTACCTTCGAGCCTTCGCCTGTGGCCTTTTCTCTGTGGAAAATGTTCTTCCTTGTGGTTTTTTCCCTCCATCCTCACTATCTCATCTACTACAGATCTGACTTAGTTTCGCAGTCACAGAAAGTCCTTCGCTACCACAATGCTGGTGGAAGCCTCTGTGCTGGTGTGCTTTAATTCAGCACTGTCTTCTGCCCTTATTTTAAGTGTTTTCTCTCTTGCTGTGGGTGGCTATGTGTGTGTCTTTGATTTTAGACGGTAAGCTTCATGATAGTGCAGACATTGTTTGTGTTATTCTATTTATTCCCATGACTTATCACTAAATAAATTCCTTGTAGTTAGTGTATAAAATAAAGAAATAAATCAATAGCGTGAAAACAGGAAAGTCAGCTAGAACCAAATGTAATAACAGAAGAGGATTGTACATACTTAGGAAACTCTAAAAAGAGCTATGAACTGTAATAGATGACTGCAGTTATACAATCATATGTATATAATCTCTACTTATCAATTTACAGAAATCACTATTATATATACCAAAAAGTGGAAACTCAGACTCCTATTCCCCAACCCCACAGGACAGTCTGCCAGTGTGGCAGTGGGTGGTTTGCTTTCCAGGCGAGGCTCCCTTGGGCCTCCACAGTGCTTATCCTGGTTGCTCCACTTAATATACACATGACTGTCTCTTTCATCATCCTTTGTTCTTGAAAAACATCCTACCCTGCTCAGCCTGAGTTCAACTCCCTCAGAGACCCCTTTCTTCTCTCTGCTTTTCCCCTTCAGTTTAGGCTTGGATCATTTTGTTTATGACTATTCTCATGGGGCTCAGAGCTATTTGATGGCAAAGACTCTAATTTATTTCTTTTTAAAAAATATTTTTAATTATTTTTATTTTATGTGTATGAGTGTATTGCCTGCCTGTATGTAAGTGCACCCGTGTCATGCAATGCCCCAGAAGTCAGAAGAGGGTGTTGGATTCCCCTGGAACTGGAGTTAAGGACAATTCGTAGCTCTCAAGTGGGTGCTGGGAATCAAACCCAGGTCCTCTGAAAGAGCAGTCAGTGCTCTTAACTGCTGAGTCATCTCTCCAGCACAGACTAATTTATTTCTGAATTGCTTCGTTTGCCTGAAAAATATTGACTGAGCATCTATTGAATCAAGGTCTGAACCCAGAGCCACCACAGAGGCTGGAGTATAGTAAACCCTCAATAAGTCCTTGAGAGACTTGAACTGAGGCTTAGTGGTACCTCAGTTTTTTCAATATCTCTCATCTTAAGGAACTAAACTGAGAATGGAAGAGGAAAACTCGCAGAATACAATAAAACTAGACAGAAGAGGGTCAGATCAGCAACTCCATCACCCAGTGAGGTATCAGCGAAGCCCTGCCTCATATCCACTTGACCCCTGGAGCAGAGAGCAGCTGGCAGCTTCGATACCCACCTGAGCTCCTTTTCACAACATACCTGACCATGTAGGTCAGGACTCCTCCATTACAGAGGAGCAATGAGGGGGTTGAAAGTAACAAAGAACGTTCTTTCCAGTAGTTGTGAAAGATCAGAAATTCCACCAATACATGGTCCAAAATGGAGCATGCTGGAAGTATAAGAAAAAGCAGAAGTCTCTAGCTTCGATCACCCTCTTGAGAAAGATGTAAAAGGATGGATCAATTTTTAAATTGAGTCTCACGTTTGAAGGTAAAGGGGTAAGAGAGTTGCACTGAAAAGTGTGCATTAGTCAGGATTTTATGCACAATTTCAAGAACTACTGAAGAAAAGATTAACACCAGGGGCATGAATTCAGGTCAAAATGAGAGAAGAACCACCCCAACACAGATAGCTGTTAAATCAAGTAGGCTGAAATATGGAAGGATTATAATGCATTTATAAAACTTTAAAAACTCTGGCTTCTTGGCAGAACCTTTGCTTCAAGGGCTCTAAAGTCACTTCAAAGCACTTAGCTTGAAGACTCACTGAAAGAGCATGACGTCCCCTGACTGTCCCCCACCCCACCCCCTACGGCTGTCACTTACTGTGAGCTCTTTGCTTTTAGCAAAAGGCCACCAGCCACGCACACGCTTTTGCTGGAATATAGAGATCTTGCTCTGTGCGCTTGCATTTTCAAACTTGGACAGATCACAGGCTTTGGCCGATTTGGCTGCTCGAGGGAAGCTGTTGAGGTTCATTTCCAGGGAGCCTGTGAAGAGGTGCCCATAACAGTTGTGGAAGGCGTTTCAATCACCATGGATCACCGCAGACTCATCCACTCACTCACCAGTCACTCAATCAACATTACATTGCCTATAAAATGTGCTAGGCATGTAAATAGGTATAAATAGGATAAAAACAAGTGGTGCTATCAAAGAATTAGTGACATGGTGGCAGGTGGAAGGCAGGGCCAAGCTGTTAAATGAAGTTTCCAGCCTCAGTTTGGGGTGTCATCACTGCTGGGCACTTTCTCTAAGTGCAGTTCCCTGAGTCTGGATGTTGGGCTAATTGGGAACAATGACAGGTAATGCAGTGTTAAACATTTGGAGCTGCCAATGTATTTCTATTATCCATTGAATATTATAACAAGAAAAAATTGCTATTTTACTGTGCAACTAAAAAAATTTATTTATTGTTTTTATTTTATGTGTATGAGTGTATTGCCTGCATGTATGTGAATGCACCATGTCGTGCAATTCCGCAGAGGTCAGAAGAGTGTGTCAGATTCCCCTGGAACTGGAGTTAAAGATGGTTCGTAGCTGCCATGTGGGTGCTGGGAATCAAAACCAGGTCCTCTGCAAGAGCAGTCAGTGCTCTCTTAACCGCTGAGCCATCTCTCCAGCCCAAATTTTTTTTAATTTTTAAAATTTGTTTTTAATATTTTTTTACTTTACTTGTATGAGTGTTATGCCTACACGTATAAAAGTGCACCCATGTCGTGCAATGCCTGCAAAGGACAGAAGAGGGCATCAGAGCCCCTGGAACTGGAGTTACAGACAGTTGTTAGCTGCCATGTTGATGCTGGGATTTTTACCTGGGTCTTCTGCAAGAACAATCAGTGCTTTTAATCGCTAAGTCATCTCCCTAGCCCCAAATGTATAATCTTAAAATATGGGATTTTCCCCCATATCCTTTTTCACTTAATACATTCTGTTCAATTCATTGACTGTTTCGGTATCTTCATGGCTGCTGGGCATTACGTGCTAAGTGCTCACTATGTGTAAAGAGCTTTGACTGGGTTTTTTTTTTCAAAGATTTATTTTATCATCTTATTTTACATGTATGTGTGTGGGCATGAGTGTATGCGTGCTCATCAAGTGTGTGCAGGTGCCCACAGAAGCTAGAGACAACATCAGATCCCCTGGAACTGGAGTTACAGGTGGTTGTGAGCTCCCTGATGTGGATGCTGAGAACCAAACCCAGGTCCTCTGCAAGAACAAGTGCTCTTAACTGCTCATCCATCTCTCTAGACCCTGTGGTTGGTTCTTTAATTTTATTGTCACAGTAGACCAGTAATGAGCTCAAACTTTACTTTGTAGTGTTAGGATAGAGCAAAGATCAACTTGTCTATTTGAGCACACAGTGACCTGCCATATATACACAATTCCCTAGTAATGGCTGTTTGGACTATTTCCACTTTTTCCCCAATCACAAATAGCATTGAAATCATTACACTTGTAATGAAACCACACTCAACTCTCCAAAAACTAGGACAACAAATCCTTAACATTAATATGTGCTTAGAAGGCCACTGGCTTACCCAGGAAATCATCTGAGGATAGCCTTTCAAAATCCCAAACTTGTAACACCAGCACAGCTGGAGTCTTACACTCCATCTTCTCTAAGGAAAGGATGTTCTCCCTTTTGGTGACGACCATTTGTTTCTCAGCTGGCAGATACTGGAACGGAAACAGGAAGCGCCAGTTGAAGTTTCCTTCTCCGGTCAGAGAGTTGTAATGCACGTCTGTCTCCTGCTTGTCATCTTCCAAACCCTTGATCCACCTGCATAAAGGAAATTCAGACATACGGAGTGCATTACTCAAGCATCACCATACTGAAGAGTGACTTCACTAGCTCCAGTGTGCCTGGTTCAGAGTTTTTACATTATCATGTAGCTGAATTCAGATGGAAGTTTCTGTTTTCATTTGAAAGAAAAAAGTGGGGAATCAAAAAGAAGGCTTATTGTAAGGCTGGTTGTGTCTTCAATTGTTTGTGTAGAGCTGAATTCCTGTGCAATCAAGAATCAGGACTAGGAAGCAAAAGTGTAATCGGAACCCTGTCCCACTGTCACGCTGTGAGCCCTCTTTGTAGGGGGTGTCATCTCCATACCAGAATGTTAGAACAAGATCACATTGAAGCCTCTAAAACTGGGTGGTTAGACCTTGCTACAAGGCCTGTGCATTTGTGCGGTCAGATCTGGAACTGGCCGCTTTCTCTCTGGCTCTGGGTCCTGCTAGTCCAGCAGACTGGATTGGTGTTTGTAGGGGATCAGTTAGTGGACTGCTTGTAGCTACTTAGGTTCCAAAGCCTGGTTCTACCATATCAACTGTGTTTTCTGTTCAGCTGTAAAACTGAAGTTGTTACAGCCTTTGGTTCATTGGGCTGTTCTGGGGAGTTATATGACATATCTGTTAGGTGCTTTGGAGACTCCAGATGATCTATGATGGTCTTTCTTAGTATTCTCCCCCATGATTAAAGGTACAATTAAGACATATTTTCTTAGTACTTCATCAATGGTGGATTACTTAAACTAATGATAATTCAAATTACTTGCCTTCTGAAAGCAGCTATCTCTCCTTACTGGGGTAGATGAAGGGAGAAGTGGAATCACCTTGGGGTATAGCCCCAATTATTTAGCTAAACAAACATGAAAAATGGCTCAAATAAAATAGCGGGCTGAGAAGCCAGCTAGGACAACATCTTGGGCCCAATGGAGAAACCATGAGCTTCCAAATCACTGAAGTGAGGAGCAGGGTAGGAAAACCAGAACAGACTGGTGCAGAGGCTAAGAAAGAGAGTGTTTGCAAAAGAGAGAGAAGGCAGCTAAGCCAGAAGTCCCTCAGAGGGTGTGGTGGTTCGAATGAGAATCTCCCCCATAGGCTCATGGGGGCTGTCATGGAAGCTTAATGATGTGGCCATGCTGGACGACATGTGTCACTGGGGGAAGTTTTTCAGTGTTCAAAGCTATGTCCCACTTCCAGGTTCTCAGTCTGCTTCCTGTGCCTGCTTGAAGATGTGCATGTTCAGCTTTCTTCTCTGGCCATCTCTCCTACCATACCTCCCTGTGTGGATGGACTCTTACCTACTCTGGAACCATAAATAAAATAAACTCTCCCTTCTATTAGTTGCTTTGGCCACAGTGTATATTACAGCAACAGAAAAGTGACTAGTACAGAAGGCAATGAAAGTTAATTAAAAGAACAAAACCCAAGCAGAAACATTAGAATTAGCAATACGGCGATTCCCGAACCTCAGTGAGATGTGTGTTGGTGTGGTGCTGGAGAGGAAGGCAGACAGAATGGGGTGAGAGGTGAGTGAGAGGGGAGGGAATAGAGAGAGTGATCATGAGTGTCTTTCTCTACATCTTAATGGCCAGGGCTCTGGAAGTTTCTGCCTGAACTCTTCCAGAAGCCTTGCATATTGTGAGCCATGATAAAATATCATTTTGTAGCACACATTAATCTTTCCTGAACTGGTGATCAGAAAGCAATTTCAGAAGATTTTAATTCTGTTATTCAAATGTTATTTTGCTACTTCTATTGCTCCTTCGTCGTCAGAACTCATTCCTCTATTTTCGTCCTGAAAAGATGAGAATTTGGAACCACTAGACATGCTGTGACTGTCAGGTACATCCCCAGTGTGTGATTGGAGCACAGGACACTCCTTGCTCAGGAAAGGCAAAGAGCTGTTGCCACATGTTGTGATGAGTTCACTGCTTCCAATGTGAGCTTTGGCTAAGGTACAGATCTGAATCAAGTTTTCTTCTGACTCTCTATGCCCTCACCCCCTCCTGACTTGGTGGCTAAAAGGAAGCAGGACTGAGATGGG